ATCTGTGTTTCGTGTATTTATTTGTTGAAGTCTAGTATCTGTACAACACATTGCAAAATTGTTAAAATTAACTATTGTGCAAAAACTTTATCAAATAGGGTAGTGTGTGTATATATACTTTCTTTTGTCTTTGGTTGTATGATTTCTAGTAGATATATTATTCTCAAATCATTTGGATTGGTATGTAAAAATATTGTTTTAAAGGATTAACAACTTTTTTACCTCTTAATTCTCTATACTTACTGAACTTATGTTTATTTTAGCAATTTCTTAAATTCAATTGTCTTTAAAAAAAACAAAAAATTATTTCAAACTTTTCCTTAAAAAGAGTGGGATTAGGGTTGCTGTCGTGGTGCCCCTCTTTAATTCCAGCACTCAGGGAGCAGAGGCAGGTGGATCTTTGTATGTTCAAGCTTAACCAGGTCTACAGAGAGTTCTACGCTAGCTACATAATGAGACCCTGCTTTTAAAAGCAAAAAATGAAAAAGTATTGTGGGCTAGAGAGATGGCTTAATAGTTAAGAGCATTTGCTGCTCTTAGAGAGGGTCTGGATTCAGTTGCTAGAACTTACAAAAATAAAAGAGTAGATTAAATTTCCTTGTTTCCATTAAGATGATGTGCGAGTGTGATAAGGCTATCGTCACACCTTCCATACAGCTTATTCAGTGCACGTACTTTTAAAAGATTATTTATGTAGCATTGGAAATTTTGTGACACAAATGCATAGCATATAAAGAATGTTGTCTTTCCCAGTACACTCCCCCTCCACTCCCCCACACCTGACCCCTCCTGTCCTCATGCCCACCACTCCTCTCCCATCCACCTGTAATGTCCATTCTACTTCCCCTTAACAGTGAGATGCATGTGCCCCCTCCCCTTGAGTCTTCCTTGTTACTTAGCTTCTTTGGCTCTGTGGATTGTAGTATGGTTATTCTTTTACTTTATGGCTAATATCCACTTATGAGTGAGTACATACCATGTTTGTCTTTCTGTGTCTGGGTTATCCCACTCAAGATGGTCTTTTGGAGCTCCATCCATTTTCCAGCAAATTTCATGATGTCATTGTTTTTAACAGATGAGTAGTACTCCATTGTGTAAATGGACTGCATTTTCTTTATCCATGTTTTGGGCCCAACTTGAGACCCATACCATGAGAGGCCCACTCCAGAAACTGCCTGGAAGACCAGGACCCAGAGGCTGAACAGCCCAGAGACCTAGGATAGAACCAAACACGACTGGCTTTAAAAAAAAAAAATCAATGAAATTAATCCTAATGATACTCTGCTATACTCATAGATCGTTGCCTAGCCCATTTGTCATCAGAGACCCACAACCAAACATTAGGCTGACTTCTGGGAGCCCTGTGGAAGAGGAAGAGGAAAGATTATGGGAGCTATAACAGAAGGAGCTGGAGTGTCTCTGACTCTGTTACCTGCTTTTGGGACCCTTTCTTCCTACCTCATTGTCTCACCTAGCCTTACTAGGAAAGTTGGCGCCTAGTCTCCTTGGTATACTTGCTATACCACACCTACTAATATTCATGGGAGGACTGCCTTTTCTGAAGAGAAAGGAGGAGGGGGAGGAGTAGATGGAGGAGCCTTGGGGGGTGTTAAAATGAGAGGATGGAGGGAAAACTGTGATGGAACTGGAAAGACATCAATTAATAACAACAACAACAACAATAATAATAATAAAAGAATGTTTCCTAATATTTAAAAAAGCAACCTTATGCCAATCTCTTAGTAAAATTTAAGTTTCAATTTTATTCTGTGCCCTTTAAAGAATGTACATGCAGAACGGCTCTGGGAGAGCCAGGAGCACACTCCTCAGCTTGCTGGCTTGAATGGGCAGAGGTTATACCATCAGTCCATTTCCCAGTGTCTACTTAACACTGGCTTCCTTTGTATTTCTTTACTTGTTAGGGGAATACAGCAAGTGTTATTGAATAGTAAAACAAAACAAGTATTATATCAGACACTGATGGCTTTTTAAAAAGTTGGAATAGGATGTCATTGGATGTTCCAAAGGCTGTCTGCTAGTATACATTTTCATGGGAGTCACTGCTTTAGTGGGAATTATATTGCTAGTCAAAGGAACTTTTTGTATCTGGTGTTCAAATCAATGTAAATAAATGTATACCTAGTGGACCAGTTTTAGAGAGTAACTCCCCATGGGCCAGGGGAGTGACTGAAGAAAGGTCCTTTAAATATATATAGCCAGCCATAATTTTTCTTAGCAAATTAATTAGTGTTGATAATTTTCTTTGTAAGAGACCATTTATCTCTCTGATGTAGCTTTAAGTATAATTTAGAAGGTGAGCTAGTTCATTTAAATATATAAAATGCCCTCAGAGGCATGAAATGTTATTTAGGACCATACTGATATTTCTGAGATCTCTGCAGATTAGATCTTGAACAGCTGCAGAGCACATAGAAGTCGTGATTCCTGTTGCTGTGAACTAACCTGAATAAAGTCTTTCATTTAGAGAGCTCGCTGTTTGTCCAGTTTATGAATCCCTCAACTCATCTCTGAAAGGTTTATTCAGTTTAATACAGTCCAGCTTTGTGGTAGAGAACTCTAGAAACTGCTTTTGTGATTTAGAATGCATAAAAAGTTAAATTAATGTGGTAATTTTTAGAATCAGATAAAATCTACTTTAAATGATGTCTTTCTATAAAAATTTTGAGAACTTTGGATGTAGCTCAAACTTAGCCTGTCATTTTGATACTGTCTGGAACTTGCTGCTCTCAAACTTGTGGTGATACTTCTTACTTCTGTTTCCCAAGTTCTGGGGTTACAGACATGTACCACCATGCCTGACTCAAATTTAACTGTCTATGAACTATAACACAGTAAGTAAAATCTGAGTATTATAAAGTTTCCTTTTTTCTTTGTGGTTTTAAAGTTTCTTTTTCTTACAGTGTTGAGTTAAACAGCGTGTTTCTCCTGTATGAGCTTGAAGAGTGCTGCCTGTCATTCTGTTCTTTTCCTTCTCTTGAGAGGCTCATTTCTTAGACCGTGTTCTACGTGAAATGTTCCACAAACACTTTAGAGTTAATGAGGCTGGAAATCAAATCATGATCTTATAAATTATATGTCACATCTGTTTCTTATTGGGGTATTTATATTGCTTTTTTTTCCTCTCGAGACTTGCATGTTGTTTGGCATTTTCTGTTGTATACCTCTTTCTTTCAATAGGTAGTGAGTTCTTTCAATTCACAGATCTTGACTTAGTTAACTTTTACAAAAAATAATGTGCAGCATGAAATAAATTTCAGGGAATTTTTCTTTTTGCGGGGGACGGGGATGGGACATGTTTCTCTGTGTAACATCCCTAGCTATCATGGAATTAGCTCTTGTAAACCAGACTGACCTCGAACTCAGAGAGCTCTGCCTGCCTCTGCCTCCCAAGTGCTGAAATTAAAGGCGTGCGCCACCACTATCCAACTCAGGATTTTTTTTCATTGCTTTGGAACACAAACATAATCTCTTTCAGTCATGAGGGTAGCCAAATTTTACTAATTTTACTGAGGAATTTATTTGTAGTTAAAATTAATAGTTGTAGTATCATATTTTCCTATATGAAAATTAAGGACCATAGAAATTTTGATCCAAACATTTTAAATCTACAATGACAAAAACACCAAAGATTGGTATTATACATTAGGATCAGAGTAATATAAATGAAGTTTATTCATGTAGTCAGTGGATTTTTAGCATCAACTAAATGCTAACCACTCTATTATAGCCTGTGCATAGAGTACTTTATTAATAAATAAACATGATCCTTACCTAATAGAACTTATAGTTAATAAACAGAAAAAATATTTAAATAAGAGAATAACAGGATAGGAGGATTATGAATAAATAGGATTACATGACCATAACTTAATGGAGGTATAGGTAGTGGTTAGAAAGAGAAAAAAGGTAAGGACTTACCCAGCTTATACACTCTAAATAGTTTCTTAGGTGTCCATGAAAACCAACTTATTTTGGGTCTGAACGAGGAACTGGAAAAGAAAGAATGAGTCAAAGACTGTTTAGGTCATGATAATGGAGCCAGTTTGGAGAACCCCCTACAGACCGTATATGTGACTGCAATTAATTAGAATACATTCATTATTTAAAATGAGTTTATAATGGGCCAGAACTGAACAAATATTCTATTTTTCCATTAAGAACTGTATTTCAGGCCAGGCTATGGTAGTGCATGCCTTTAATTCTTGCTCTTGGGAAGCAAAGGCAGGCAGATCTCTGTGAGTTTGAGTCCAGCCTGGTCTACAGAGCAAGTGCCAGAACAGGCTCCAAAGCTACACAGAGAAACTCTGTCTCGGGGGTGGGAGGAACTGTATCTCAGAAGAACAAAATAGTTCAGAAAGGTAGTTTATTCATGTAGAATTCCAACCTGTAAATAAATAATAACATTATTTTAGTAGAATGAAATGAATTACCTGTGCATTAAAATTGTCTTTTCTGCTTATACTTATGTTTGTTTAGGAAGTATAAGAGTCTTTAAAAGAAAGGGAGGTAAGAGTTTGGCAGTTATGATTGTGAGATGCTAGGAAGGTATTTCATGTGGTGGAAATGACATGAGCAAAGTGCAGAAATGAGAAAAATACTGTTATGTAGCCAACAGGAACTTAGCAGTTGGGCTCCCCAGAGTATAAACAGTTAAGTGGAAGTACTGGAGATTATAGTCAAGATGAGTTCTCAGAATGCATAGTACCTGGAAATAGTGAAACCCAGCTATTCCAAGTTTAGGAAGAACTTAAGATCCAAAGGCGCTTTAGTTGTTGTTATGCATTGGATGATAGATGTGTAGATATATTTTCTCTCCTCATATTCAAGAGTTTTGCTGTAATTTAGAAATGTGGTCTATGCCTCAGCCAAGTTACAGTAGGAGCCTTAGATGCCAGCTGTGTGATTAGTCAAATAGTTTGGTGATATGAAATGGATATTCCTTAAATCCCACTTTTCTCATCCTTAAATATTTTTAACAGGGTATCCAGAAGTTGGCTAGTCAATATCTGAAGAGAGATTGGCCTGGAGTAAAAAGTGATGATCGGAATAATTACAGGTAACTTACTAAAGTGTGTGTGTGTGTGTGTGTGTGTGTGTGTGAGCCAGAGCTCAACCTCAGATATCATTTCTCTAGAACCATCAACTTGTTTTTTTAATACAGAGTCTCTTATTGGACCCTGAAGCTTGCCAATTAGACTAGGCTGGTTGGCTAGTACGCCCTAGGGAGCATCTTTTCTCTACCTCTCCAGTGTTGGGATTATGAGCATATGCCACTACACCCAGTTTTTTAATGTAGTTGCTGGGAATTGAACTCAGTTCTCATGCTTGCATGGCATGTACTTTGTACAGACTGAGTCGTGACTCCAGTCCTTCCTTTGTTTTAAAATGGTTTTACTCAGAGGCCCATTACGGTTAAATAATGTGATTGATACTTCAGTTTTTAAAAGGATTACCTTTTTCTTTGCCTGTTTTAAAGACATAATTATTTTAAAAAATTATATTCCATAGCATGAATAAATTTTCTTATTTATTTATTATGTATACAACATTCCTTCCATGTATGCCTGCAGGCCAGAAGAGGGCACCAGATCTCATTACAGATGGTTGTGAGCCACCATGTGGTTGCTGGGAATTGAACTCAGGACCTCTGGAAGAGCAGTCAGTGCTCTTAACCTCTGAGCCATCTCTCCAGCCCCCCATGAATAAATTTTGTAGATTAGATTATTTCAACATATCTTAATCCAGAATTATATATGAATACCCGCATATGGAATTGAAAGAACAGAGAAACAGGTTGTTTTCTTATGAATCTGTGATAATGGAACATTGTTGCAATAGTAATGAAACAAGATTACACTGCTATCATGCTCGTTGACTTGTTAAAATAAATCTTTAATTTTCAAACTTGATCTTTGTGAATGAGTATTTTAATAATGAGTGAGAAGTACTTTGTGTGTAGCATGATACTTACATTGGAAATGTAATAAGAGGGTGTGGGAAAGCTCACCAGTTTATGTTCCACATGAAACTTTTCAAGAAGGCCAGCGACAGCAGAATACAGATTTTGTCCTCAGTAACCTACCAGTATCTTGTGATTTTGTTTAGACTTTGATACCTTTTGGGGCATCAAAATTTGAAAATACTTACTGGTTTTTGTGCTCAGGGATGTCATTACTCTGGGAGGTAGAGAAGTAAAAAAACTCAGCATTTACCATCTTCTTGGAATTAAAGACCGTTTCCAACAAACAATAGTTTTAAAAAAAAATGAGTAGTTAAGAGTCCAGTTTAAAGCCTGACTCAGAAAGCATGCAACCGAAATGTAGAGCGGGCAGGGTAGAGCACAACTTTAATCCCAGTGTAATCTTTTGTGAATTCGAGGTCAGCCCGGTCTACAGCGAATTCCAAGACGGCCACGGCTGTTTCACAGAGAAACCCTGTCTCTATCTCCTCCCTCCCCCAGAAAATGAATGGGGCTAAAAAAATGGAGTGTGAAAAGAAATCTAAAAATTATTTACACTGGCACAGTTCAGCTTGCACAGCTACAAATAATAGATAGCATAATTTTAATATTAAAGTAAATAAATAAAAATAAGATTTTTTAATGAACTTATTAGTATGTAAACAGTTCGCTGAGGGGAAAGAGATATGGGGATCAAATACTAAGTAAAAGAGACAGTAAAGTAAAGCCGTGGTTAGGAAACAGGCTCTGCATGACTGATGTGAATCGGCCTTCCAGGAGAGACTGTGTTGCTGACGCAGGACTACAAGTGATGGATGAGGTGTATTCTAGTGTGTTTGAAATTCAGGATTCAGGTTACTAAAGGAAGAAGGGAATGGCTCTTCTTCCAGGCAAGCTTATAAAAGAGGTGCTCTAACCCAGCAGCTACTGAATATTTACTAAATGCCAGACACCTTGTAGGACTTTGCTCACATTCGTGATTATTAAAACAACCCAGTGAGGGAAATATAATTCTTCTTATTTTATATAGTAAGTCAGCTGTTAGAGTAAACTTTAGGATTAGAGACCTTGAAAGATATGGTGTCTGTTTTTCAGGAATTTACAGAAAGTAGTCACTTTGAAGTAGTAGAAGTGGATATGACAGAAAAACCTCGGCTTATAGCACTTAGTCTTAAGAAATGTGCAGGACGTTGCCAGACAGACAACTTGGTGAAAGGAATTGAGCAGAAGTAACATCTTGAAGATGTGGCACATAGGAAAATATGGTATTGGGTAACAGTAAAAGGCTCTTGTGAAATGTGTAGGTTAGAGGGTAAACCTGGCACTGGGGTGGAGATGTGTAGGTAAGCATCATAAATGGCTTTCATGATCATGCCTAGAGGTTTATAATTTTATTTAGAAGGTAACAGAGGCATTGAAGAATGTCAGTAGAGAAGCTCACAACTAACTCCACAGTCACAGTGCAAGGTAGAGTTCCACAAAAATGCCCAAAATATAAACCATTATAATTTATTTTCATCAGAATAATAAAAATTATACTAAAAATGAGGTTGTGAGGAAGATTTCAGAGGTTTCTAAGAGAGTGAAGCCAGAAGACTTACAGTTGATTTGGTGTGGGGGTTTGTCAGATTTATTCTGAACAATTATAGACAGCTTCCTCTGTATCTAAAATAGTTCTTGGCACAGAAGACACTTGAGAAATATTTACTTACCTTCTTTTAAAAAAAAAAGTAGAAAGGGAGGGAGGATTAAACAGTGACTCCCAGGGGGTTTTCTTTCAGTCTTTCATATTATTTTATTTTCTTCCTTTAAGCTAGTAATATGATATCCAATTTTTGTTGTAACTGGTAGGTCTGCAAACAGACTTATCCAATTTACAGGCAAGGCCAGTGCTGCTTCTTGATTATAGATCCACCATGGACTCTGGTCATCCAGCCCGAGTCACTCCTATTATATGGCCACTTCACTGAATCTAAATTTTAGCTTTTCCGTGGCTTCCATGATTTTGTCCTGTTTTTTCATTTAGAATGTGTCTAACCTTACTGCACTGGCACCACCTTTGGGCCCTGAGCCTTTTTGCCAGCACTGTCACTCCCGGAAGCTGTATTTCCTTCTTCCCTTTTCCAGAGCCACATTTCCCCTTAGCGGCAACTTAGAGGATGATGAAGGTATTCTGGAGAAGACAATAGAGAGATCAGAACTGAGGGTAAAATGGAAATTGCCAATTTAAAAAACTTAATTCCTTTTACTTTGGGAGATTATAATACAATTATATCATTTCCCCCCTTTCCTTTCATCTCTCCAAACCTTTCCATATACCCCTCCATTATCTCTTTCAAATTCATGGCTTTTTTCATTAATTATTGCTACATGTGTATATGTGTATGTTTTTACACATTCACATATGTTTGTAAATATGTAAGTACAGCTGGTTCAGAATTATAATGTTACTTTATAGTTGTTTTCAGGGGTGGCCACTTGTTATTGGTTAGCCAGTTGTTGTGCTCTTCCCTGGGGAAGATTATTTTTCCTGCTCTCAGTGTGCCTTAGTTGCCTGGAAATTCTTTGTAGAGTTGAGGTGTCATGGGGTTTCACTTCACCCGCTTGTCAGTTGGAGCTGTCCTTGTTCAGCTCATGTTTAGACAGTGCTATTAGTGAGACTTTATGAGTATAGCTTCTGACATTTTTAGGAGACACGGTCTTACAGAAAAGTCCATGATCTATATTTTTATGTTACTTTATTTTTTTAAAAAATAAAACAATCTTTTTTTCATTTTACATACCAATCCAAGTTCTCAGTCCCTCCCCTCTTCCCATTTCCTCCACACCGCCCCCCATCCACTCCTCAGAGAGGGTAAGGCACATTGCTTTGGGGAAGGTTCAAGACCCTCCCTACTGCTATATCTAGGCTAAACAAGGTATCCATCCAAAGAGAACAGGTTCTCAAAAAGCAATAGGGTTAAATCTGGTGCCACTGCCGGTGCCAGTGGCCCCTCAGTCTGCCCCAAGCATACAACTGTCACCCATATTCAGAGAGACTAGTTTGGTCCTATGCTGGTTCCTTCCCTGTCTGGCTGGAGTTGGTGAGCTCCCATTAGCTCAGGTAAACTGTTTCAGTGTGTGCCCCCCTCATGACCTTGAAAACAGCTTGATATTGGCAGAAAAACAGGCAAGTTGACTAACGGATATTAAACCACATACCTATGAACAGCTGATTTTTGACAAAGAAGCTAAAAGTATGCAATGAAAATAAGAAAGCATGTTCAACAAATGGTGCTGGCATAACTGGATGTCAACATGTAAAAAGAATGCAAATAGATCCATATCTATCCCCATGTAAAAAACTCAAGTTCAAATGGATTAAAGACTTCAATATAAATCTGACCACACTGAACCTAATAGAAGAAAAAGTGGGAAGTAAACCTTAAATGCATGACCACAGGAGAACACTTCTAAACATAACACCAGTAGCACAGACACTGAGAGCAACAATAAATAAATGGGACCTCCTGAAACTGAGAAACTTCTAGAAAGAAAAGGATAGTCAATAAGACAAAAAGACAACCTACTGAATGGGAAAAGATCTTCACTAACCCCACATCAGACAGGACTGATCTCCAAAATATATAAAAACTCAAGAAATTAGACATCAAAATTCCAAATAACCTAATTAAAAATGGGAGAACTAAACAGAGAACTCTCAACAGAAGAATTTCAGATGGCCAAAAGACACTTAAAGAAATGTTCAACATCTTTAGGCATCAGAGAAATGCAAATCAAAACAACTCTGAGATACCATCTTACACCAATCAGAATGGCAAAGATCATAAACACCAATGATAGCGTATGCTGGAGAGGATGTGGAGTAAGGGGAACACTTCTCTATTGCTGGTGACAATACAGACTTGTACAACCACTCTGGAAATCAGTATGGTGGTTTCTCAGAAAATTGGGAATCAACCTACCTTAGGACACAACAGTATCACTCTTGAGCATATACCCAAATAATGCTCAATCATACTACAAGGACATTTCTTCAGCTATGTGCATAGCAGCTTTATTTGTAACAGCCAGAACCTGGAAACAGCCTAAAGGCC